ATATTAAATAATTACCGCTCGACTTTTTGACTGCATAGCCGAAACGTGTGTATAAACTTAGTATATTTATTACAAATCTCATAACTAAGATTATGTTTACATTACTTAGGAGGATGTAGTACGCCGTTTAAGAGAATTACAACCACAGTTGAATGATAATAAATTTAATCAAGATGAAATTAACTCAAAGGCCAACATGGTAGATCGCGAAATGCAAGGGATAAGACGGCAGTATATATCATTTTATATTTAATTGTTTTATTAATTATTCAAATGATACGTGAAGTAACTGCTTTTTATTACAAGACTCAGAGAACTTGATGACGTAAAACGGCGTCGTCTTGAAACCATTCGACGCGTTGATTATCAAACTTTTCTAGCTTATGAATGGTTGCAGCAAAATCAGGACAAATTGAGTGGACGCGTTTTTGGACCAGTTTGTATGGAAATAAACATTAAAGACATGCAATATGCTGATGCAATAGAGAATGCGTTGGGGAATGTTAATAAGGTAAAAAAAATAAAAATAGAATAAAAATAAGAGCCTTATGAAATATCAGCTAAGAAAGATAATTTATTAATTGCTTTTATAGACATTCGTATGTGAAATGGAACAAGATTATCATACTATTACCAGAGAACTCTGCGATAATCGCCGCATGAAAATAAACGTTTTTTGTCCTAGAGCAACCATGGATTCGTTTCCCCCTCCTATACCACATCAGCAGGTAACATATTTGTAAATGTTTCTTAACGTTCTATATAAGTGCAATTGTTTAAATAAACACCATGTCTTTAGCTTAGATCCTATGGTTTTGTAAGCTACCTTCTGGACCTAATAGAAGCACCTCCACAGCTGCAAGCCGCACTTTGTGATACGTCCAAATTGCATACGATTGTAAGTATGGTATTGTTTTTTGTGCATGTCATTTATCGAAGTCTTACTACTTATACTCAAAACTTCTAAAGCCTTTGGCGAGGAATGAGTCGGATATCAACCATGACGTTATTAAAAGCAACAGGGCTTTTTTTAAATATTATGCTGGAGAAACGTCTTATTCGGTTTCGTTTTCTAAATATGGTCAAAGATTTTCACAAGTCTTCACGAACAGAATAAAACCATCGAGATTCTTCACCGCAACAAGTGAGTTCCGCTTATCTTCGATATATCTGCGTTTCGTTGATTTATGACATGCTTCTAACTCAATCAAATATAGTGAACATTGAAGAAAAGCATGAGCTTGAGAGGCAGCTCTATGAATGTCAGGCAAGGCTAAATCAATTTGACCAATCGCTTTCTGATTTAAAGAAAGAGCATGGGAATATCCAAAAATCCATTGAGTTGTTGCAAAGTGAACGGGTAATACTTTATACTATTTTGGAATTGACAATTTATTTTATGAAATTTTTTTTTTATTAAAATTTTGTTGCTGTTTAGAATGCAATAAATGAAGAAAAACGCAAAAATCAACGTGCAGTAAACGAATTCGAAAGGCTGAAAGTTAGACTCGGTAAGTTTTATATTAAAATATCTCTGTTTTCAGTAAGATGCATCCTCAAATTATTTGGCGATCATTGGTTTAGGATCAAAAAGAGACCAATTGCAGCGCGAGCTTGATCAACCCGCTTCGATTATGAACGAAGAAAATGAATTAAGGAAAGAATTTAGTAAAATCGCCAAAAAACGAGGACAACTTGTTATACAGTTTAAGGTTTGTGTAATCTTATTATATTTAAATTATTTAATTTCGCAAAGTAATAATCTATTAAATCCAATTTTCTTTTTTTGTTACAGAAAATTATGGAAGAAAGTATGCAACTATTTTCAGGACGAATTTTAGCGACATTAAAGCATATGCAAGCTTCAGCGGATCTTAATGCATTAGAAAGACAAACTCAAGACAGAGATGATGCACTAAAACAGGCTCACACAAAGTTTAAAGAAGGTAAATTATTCTAAACTTATTATTATTATTTTTTTTTTTATAAACGTTATCTGACCTCATCATTATTAAAGCTGATGCAAGGTTTAATAGTGCCAAATCAGAAGCAAAGCGTTTGCTTAACGAAGCGAATGCTGGAATTGAGGGCATTGATGCAGAGACCAGTCGCGCATTACAAGAAGTATGTTACATTATATATCTGCATTACGATGTTTATAAGGCAATTAGGATGCTAAATTTCTAATATTTATAAACTATTCTTTTATGATAGCTTAGTCAAGGAATGACACTTGAAGAGCTTGAAGATGCTGTTGCAAGTGAACGTGCTAAAGCTGATTTACACTACGCAGTTGATTCACGTGTTATTGAAACATACGATGCAAGAAAAGCTGAGGTATAAGGATCAAATCGTGATATTAGTGATTCCACCAGAAATATTGAAATGAGAATAACTATTTTGCATTTATTTAGATCGATTCAATCAAATCTAGGTTGGCAATCAAGACATCCCGATTGGCGAAATTGACTAGTGATATAACAACTTTGAAAGTATGTTTTATAAAGCACTTGTTGAAATTTACATGTGATATTTACAAATTTTTTTGAAATTTAATAGGAAAAATGGGAACCTCGATTAAATTCTTTAGTTAAAGAAATTAGTAAAGAGTTTTCTAATGCATTTGATCGCAAGTATCCTTGTTTAATTCATTAGTGGTGAACAATGTTGTTATTAATTTTACTAATATCATCATCAATATGTTTAATAGGTATTGGATGTGCTGGTGAGGTTCGTGTCAGTACCCACGAAGATTATGATAAGTGGGGTATTGATATTTTGGTGAAATTTAGGTTTGTATATTTTCATATCACAAAAGTTATAACATGTGCAGGATACTGATAAAGGATCTGTAAATAGAGATAATGAAAGGCTTCAGGTATTGACAGGTCAAAGACAGTCAGGCGGCGTATGTATACCTTCTTTAAGATAAAATGATTTATTTGCATAAAAGTGTTATTTACGTATTATTTTAAAATAGGAACGGTCTGTTTCAACTATAATGTACTTAATGGCACTACAAGAGCTATCTAAGACTCCATTTAGAGTTGTTGATGAAATAAATCAAGGAATGGATCCTCGTAATGAGCGATTGGTTCACAGTCAGATGGTTCAGACTGCTTGTCGACCTAATACATCGCAGTAAGTTATGATTTCTATGTTCGTGAATATTAAACTTGATATTTATCGTTTTTTCCTCTTTTTAGATACTTTTTAATTACACCAAAGCTTCTACCAGACCTTCAGTATCATGAGAGGATGAAAATTCTATGTATATATAATGGAGAATGGCAACCTGAAACTATGAACTGGAGGAAGTATATTAATGATAAAAAAAAATCTAGTAATTAGTTGTGATGATGATTAATTAGGGAATGATCGACCATTTGATCATAAAATTTTTTGTATAAGTGGTCGATCATTAAATAGTCATGCATGACACCATACATCACTCGTATTATATTATATTCGCTACAATAATATTTGTCATTATTTTCCGTCTAATGCCGTAGTATTAATGTCATTGCTTGAAGTTAACACCATCTCTAGTAATTAGAAGGTTTTGTAATTTGATGCACCTCTTGCAATCACGTGGTCTGGAACTATCAAACCCCATTAACGCTAGATATTTTTTTTATACTTATTAATTATTTGTTGTCATCGGGACTTAAATCCTACCTATAACGAACTGAAAGGTTCTATGCATGTAACACATTTTACATAATGAAAATTCATATGGTTAAACTAGAATCTGCTATAAGATCCCTATGGACTTTATAAATAAATAGAAAACTGTCATCCCAATTTAATGTAACATAAATTCAGAAATGGAATTTGTAATAAATATACTAAGTTTATACACACGTTTCGGCTATGCAGTCAAAAAGTCGAGCGGTAATTATTTAATATTGTGATTTCATAAATTACATTTTAGTTTTCGCCTAATATTTTAGTCGAGACAGCTTTTCTTAAAATTATTATTGAAAAATTTTACAAATCAACCGAAATTAAATACCATACCCTAAAAGTGAGGTATTATTTTATATGCTTTTGATTATAAAATAGTTGTTTTGAAACAACTAATCGTTAGGGAACTGATACTTATTGCAAGACTACGCCAGGGCGTAGGGTCGATTTTACTATCACGTGATAGTCGGAAAACAAATGTTGTTAACAGGCACCCGATTTGTCACATCTAAAATTTTATCATATGATTTTCATAAGTTGCACAAATCGACGAAGTTACAGTTTTAAA